AGGCCTCCTGTTGCATGGTTTGTTAAAATCAGATCCTGTTTCAAAAAACTTTCCATGGATAGCGTACCTTGTATTTCGCTTTAGAGAAGTGTACGGTCATACAGCTTCTCAAACTGGCGCTGAAATGCAGTCAGTGACAGAAAACTTTTTGCTTTTTTCAAAGCTTGTCCAATGTCAACTGGCAAGTCATGGACATGGGAATTTGCTTAACAACTACAACCCCCAAGCTGCCAAATGCTGACTGATTTACATCTGTCTGAAAAATACCTGAGTTGAACCAGAAAAAAAGGAAGCGTGTGAACCTGTGTGTCATTAGATTTTACATGTCTGCTGTGAGATAATCACATGTGTCCCCTCCTCTGGGGTGAGAATGGCAAGGGGTTCATCCGCCTCTGATTCTATATCACAGATCGGGCTGTCCGTCCATCTCGTTTCACTTTCATTTTTCCCAGCACAAGACATCAAAACATCTGAAAATAAAAGCATTCATTGTGTTTTTTGAAATCAGTACTTCCAAGTACTTGTTTTGTGTCAGCTCTCACCACCATGCAGTTCTCCAAGTCTTTCTTCTGAAGTGTTGTCATCAGCATCACTTGTAATCTCAACAAATGTGCCATCTTTTTTTCCTTCTTTCACACCACGATTATTTAATTTCATCTCAGCGCATTCCAACCTTATCCTGAGGGTCTCCAACTCCTGGCTCCTGCGCTTCACTTCATCTAAAAAGCAGTTCTCTACCAGTTGCGTGACCTTATACATCGTAGTTTTCACCACAGTCTCCATCAAGTCCAATAGCTGCGTCTGGAAGGTGACAACGAGGGTATCCAAGTCTGACATGACGGGACCTGCGCGTGCGTTTCGTAGAAAAGTCGTTCCAAAATGAAAATAAATATTGACACATACGATCGAAGTACGGCAATTTCTATTCGTAATCACCACTATTAGATTCTTCTTGCTGAGTGAATTCCGCTTGTTGTCAACGTAGCAGCGAATACTTTCCTGCCTTATCTGAGCAAGCTTATGCTAAATAATGAATCCCATTGACCAATAAACTGCGGTATTCGTGCGGTTTATATTATCGCAATAGTGCATGCTTGTAAGGTATCCCCAGGCGAGCAAGCACAATGCAAGAAATCAAACTGCAGTACATAAACACACGTTTGGTAATCAGATGAGCTTCTTGTTGCTAGACAGTGACGTACTACGGTGGCCGCATAAGGCCCTGGAAAAAACGCGTTTCCCAAAGGGAAACCCAAGTGCTGCCCTACGACACTACAGGGTTTGTGAATCTGAGTTTTGTGAAATACAATTCAAATTTGCACGGTAGTGCTGCTACTGAAAAAAAAAAAAAATTATCAAGGATCTAATTTGTCCAAACCACAATGGATTCACCCAATTCAAATCTATGAACTGTAACATCAACCTGTTTTGGTACACCTGAAGTTTGTCAATCTCTGCTATCTTGTTGTCATATAAAATATGTTAACCTCACACAGTACGTAGCTTATTTTCACCATTAACCCTAATGCTGTATTTACAGAAGACAATGAGACAACTGTGTGACAAATACATGAGGCACAGGCGTCAAATTAATTTCAAAGCCACAAGTTTACAGAATTTCAACTGGAGTTAATAAAAGACTATCATAATAAGTTTCAAATACTAAATATTAATCTACATTTGTGCAAAAATATGTCGGCTACTTTGCTTCTGTTTACATATGGATCATTTTATAAAGCAGCACAACCGGTTGCATTTCTCATTGATACTGTTCTGTTTATTCATATTTTTTCTGATAAGTCATATTAAAGTGAATAAGGGTAAGCAGTCATGGTGTGTTGTCTATTTGTATAGAATCACTGAATATATAATTGGTATATGTATTTTTTTTGCAAATAATTTGTGATATGCACAAATATCATTCACAACCTGAGAACATGCAGGTGTTCATTCAAGAAAAGACAACAACACAAGGAGCTTCTACTTCCTGTTAGTTTACTTCACAGATCAATTACATGTGTGCATTGATGCGATTTCAGATGATCCAGGTGTTTAAAAGTAAGGTCACACACGGTGCAATTGTATGGTCTTTTTCCTGTGTGGGTACGGTGGTGCACTTTTAATATGTCAGCACGTGTGAAGCACTTTTTGCATGTGCTCCACTGGTGAAGTTTGTCCTGTGTGTGGATTCTGTGGTGCAACTTCAAATTCCAAAGACGGCTTAATTTGCACCAAAATGCAATCAAATGGTTTGTTGCCGGTCAGGCCGCACCTGTGATTTTTCACGTCTTTCATTGAGGGGAAACCTCTACCGCATTGGCGGCAGATGTGAAGCCCTTGCCCAGAATGAATCTTTCGGTGAATTTTAAGGTTGCAGGATTGAGTGGATGTTTTTCCACAATGCTCACAGACGTATGGTGCCCCCCTGCTCAATACGTCTGTGGGCCTCGAGTGTGGCAGAATCAGGAAAGGGTAGAGAGCACTGATCACTAATGTGCATCCTAAGCTCAATCTGCCATTTGAATTGTTCGAAGCCTGCGCAGGGGACATGAGTTGATTCCGGCCTCTGGTCAAAGCCAGCTTCATAGTTTATGTAGGACTTGGGAAATCTCTGGAACCTACAGTGTTTACTTGGTCCCAGAAGATGAGAGCACTTGGTTTCTCACAAATAACGGGAGAAAATAACGAATACATCTCTGTGCACAATGGAAAAAAATGTTTGTTTGTAATGCTGAGTAGTGACATCTCTACAAGTCGGTCAACTGAGTCAATGTTTTGCCAAATAAATATAGAAGGCGCGAACCATCAAAATCCTCAGAATCCTTTGCTTGCGGTGTCACGTTAATGGCTACCTCCTTGAGTAGTCGGTCTATATATCGCACATTAGAGGGCTACCAAAAACAAAATGAGAGTCATGGGAAGTGATTGCATAAACACTGTAATCTAATAACAGCCAAGAAAATATCAAGAAACAAAATACTGTCATTCCATAGTTTCTGAAATTTATAAATCAAACGGCAGTTACCGTATTTTCCGCACTAAAAAGCGCACTGTATTATGAGGTGCACCTTCAATGAATAGCCTATTTTGTCTTTTTTTTTCATACAGTATTGGACGCACCGCTTTATAAGACGCAATCTACAATGCATCCACTAGATGAAGCTACGCTTAAGGAAATGCCAACAGAACGCTACACCAGATTTATACAGCGACGATCAGATGTCAGTAAAACTTATTTAATAAAGCAGCGACACAGTTCACTTAACCAACAGCAAGTTATAACATTGACACCTTTTTTCATTCCTTTCAAACAATTGTATTCAATAGTACAACAAATGTAGACTGTTATAAAATCACACAGTATTACAAATAGGAAATAGAGCAATCAGGAAAAATAAATACGCCTTATAATGTAGACATAATGTTTGTTAGTTATGATCAACATACGGCATTAGCATCATTGCTACTTGCAAATGTGAGGTCAATTTGTTACTCTTACTTACTCTTAGTTTGTTTCTTCTTTCATTTATTGATGGATTTTGTTTATTTCCACTTGTAAACCAATGTTAGAATGGGGAGTCCGATTAGCTAGAGTCACTCACATTTCCAGCGTAAATGGCCATAATGGCGTAAATATGCTCACAGCTCACTGCTGGTCACTTAATATCACGAATCTCGATCATATAATCACCCAGCCCTATTTATATTGCCCTTTGGAAAGTAGTGTTGGAGGGATTATGGGTTTGACTGACGCCCAGCAAAAACAAACAAAAAACATCTTGACCTATCTCTGTGCGGCCCGATACTGGTCCGCAGACCAATGGTTGGAGACCACTGCACTAATACTACTACTACTACTACAACTAGTAATAATAATAATAATAATAATAGTAATAACAAAATAATGACTTGAGCCCAGCATGCTTCCCTCCTGGATTCTTTGCTGATTTGTAAATTTCTTCTACCACATAGCAAATGACCATGGTAAAGAAAAAATATACAATGGAAGGCGAATTGTGACTTTTTTTTTTATTTTATTTTTTTAATAATCTTTATTGAACAAGTCAGAATACAATTCTCAGTAAACAGAAAACAAAACGAACCGGTTATTAATACATACAGCGAATTGTGACTCAAAAGCGCTGAAGATTGCCTGAATGACACACTTCCGGTTTCTCCTCATTGGACATCTCGAGTCTTTCGAAGTCAGGCAACTTCAGTCGTCCATCGTCGCGCATTTCTTTGCGTCTACTTTCCGACCACTTCAATCGACTCTCTAAGGACTCAACCTGCTTCCTGCAACGTTTAACTTCCACCCAAAAACTCACCTCCACAAGTCTAGTGATCTCATACATGGCAGCCTTGAACACAGTTTCCATCACCCCGGAAAGTTGGGACTGAAAGGTTCCCAGTGGGTCTGCGTCTGCCATCACCCAGCTACTTGAAAGGTGAAGAGGATCTGGTGCAATAACTCACGCCTTGGAAAAATATTCTCGATTGCACAGTTAGTGGAATTAGCAAACGTTTCCTTTATGTGTTTTAAAACAATTTCAGATGACAAACTAATCATGACTTCCGTGCTGATGCATACGGTTATAATATTCGCGGTCGGCCATACAAAAAAAAAAATCCCAACATAATTTAAAAAATCCACTGTCACCTGTTAATGTTTTTCTTCGGTCTTCCGGATATAAACACGTACTTCCGAGTTTTTAACTACGGCAATGAAATTAGGACAAATTTTAAAAAATGGCGTCACTGTTTCACAAAACCCGTAAATCTCCGACAAAAATCTACGCTGTTGTGATACGGTGACAGCATTACACATACAAACGGAATAATCTCTGATTTTGGAGGGCATATAAGAGGTACCAGTGGTCGATATTAGCAAAATCCGGATCAAAGTACAATTCGTCCTCTGATCTTGAGGGCCGCGCATGCGCGTTTCTTGTCACAAGAGACAACTGCAGCAGACGTGCGTCACATATTTTGCAGTTCCAACACAATTAGCGGAAACAGTTGCGGGAGGACATGTTGACGACGGCAGTCACGCCATGCCATGTATTGACTAACCTTGTAAATGGTGTAAAAGTAGACCTGTAATTCGTGACTCAAGCGAAAGAATAACAATACGATGTCAACGGACGATTTTCAAAACAAGTTCACCTCCTTTATGGAGAGTGTAGTGAAGAGCACAGTCGTAGAAACGACCAAACTTTTTGAAACTTTGGTTGAAGAATTAAAGGCTGAATTGTCAGAGGTCAAGACGGAGAACGAAGCTCTCAAAATAACATGCAGACAAATACAGGATGCGAAAACCCTGGCGATCAGTGAGTCCATCCAAAGTGGCCGTCTGAAGATGCACGATACAGCCGTTCAATGTGGTGAGTTTTGTGAGTCTTAATGTATAATTGGGATTGCGTTTATTAAATTAAACATATGCACAAATACGTATTTTATTAGATGTATGTGCTCCATTCATCCATCCCACGCGCTCAGTAGATTTGCACTTGCTTGCCGCGTGTCATAGGAGGCAACCCTTATGATGAAACCCTTGTATTACGTCATAAAGATGTGAAAGTTCACCCGAACACATTTGCGCGACCCTTAACCCTTATAAGAATTCCCTCAAGGCTGGTTTGTGTTTGTGTGGTTGTACGTTAGACGATACCGTTGCATTTCCGGTAGCAAGAGGACAGCCATGTTACGTTGCCACTATGATTGAGAACAGTTTTTTTTTTCTCTTCTGAAAACACGGTACACGTCAGTGCATGTTTTAGATGAGGATCCCGGATGTAGTAATGAGAGCCTCTCAAAGAACAAACTTCACAGTTTGCATCGGCCATTCAGAGTATATTATCACAGCATTATGAATCGTGAGTTTAGGTTTAGATTTCTAAGTGGTGTTTTCCCCCTGATGGGCTTTGCTTTCATTGAATTGTTCATGGTTTTGACAACATGATGCAGACAAATGTTTGAGTCGTACTCTTGAAATAAGCCTTATCATAGAACATTTCTAAACGCATTATTAGCCAGGAATGTACAACACGGGGGTTCCTGACAACATGATGCAGACGAATGTTTGAGTAGTACTCTTGAAATAAGCCTTATTATAGAACACTTCTAAACGCATTATTAGCCAGCAATGTACACGTAGCACTTCTCCCAGACTTATTGATACAACCATATGCCACAGAGTGTCCCATTTTTGCCTTACAGACTGAAACTAATGTGAAAATGCTACAGAGAAATGTCTTCAAGTTAGGTGCACTGAGCAAGTGGCAACATAAGATGGCCACTGGTGGCTTTACTTCTTCATACATTAATTAAATGGTATTGTTAGACCGGTCATCTACAGTATAAATATGTGGTGTCAGGGCGATGGCCGCACTGTTTCTGGTTTACGTTTTATAAATTGTGTGTAAATTGGTGTGTTTTCTTTTTCTTTCAACTGCTCAACCGTCCACTTTGCAAATGTAAATGTCATTGATGTACTCGGTAATAATTTCTATAGCCGTGACTACAGCAACCCATGTACAAATGACATGATATACTTTCACTGCAATAGGGCGTGTGGATATGTCGTTACATTATGGAAATGACGGCCATATTAGTATTGCGTTTCGAAAAAATGTGAAGTCAGATTTATCCCACTTGGATTGCACCAGTCGTGAATTCAAAGCATTCCAGGTGAATGTAAATAACAGAGATGGCTTTTGTTTTGTTCCTCAAAACATATTTTGACCTCCAGAAAACCCGCCTTCATAATTTGCTTTATCTTATAAGCTTGATTTCATATATTTCATTGAATAACTACATGGTGGGAGATAGCGGAATATCATCACGCAGTCAGTTCAGTAGTTGATTTAATTTAGCACAATTTAAAAACAGTGCAAGGAGGGAATGAAGCCAGAAGGGTTTGTACAAGATCCTACTCCCATTCATATCATATCAAATGAAACATTCCTGGATGAGCAGTACAAATGAAATGACAAAATAAAATGTCAATAAAACCGACATAACAATGACATAAAAGCAAAATTGACATTTCTGAATTGAAATTGAAAACAATGTTAGTGACGGGGGGGAATCACTGTAGTTTTAGCTATAGGTTCAGTGACTTTAAAGGCTGGATAGGAGGATAGAGGATATATCTGAGTTATTCCAAAGTTTAGGGCCTCTCAATGCAATATTAAAGTGATGGCAAGATGTCAGACAAAAGGGTAAATGGAAATTGCGACCATGCCTTGTTGGGTACAAATGAAAGCCAGTTGAAAAGGCATAAACGCTTTGAAAAGTGTCAGGGATATCCTGTTTATTGTAGATATAAATCTGTACAACCAGGAATGGACGTAATTGAGCTTATAAATATTGAATATTTTCTAAAAACAGGCGAAGAATCATGACCAGTACAAATCACCATTTTATTATGTGAAATTATGTCACATAACTATATTTATGTAATCATCAGTACATGTTTTTATATTGCTTTGAATTGTGTTTTGCCATTCACGGTCTGTTTCTCCATGGGGATTGCCATTGTCGAGTGACGTCAGATTGAAGCAATTTGGTGAAGCTGTGGTAGATATTTTCTTCTCCGTCTTCTCAACTTGGACCTCCCAGTTTGAGTGGCGTTTCAGTACACTTTACATTTCATGAAAAATGTTGTTCGCGTGATCTAGGGGGTCAAATTATAGCTCAAAAGGTTACGTTACTAAAATATGCAACGATCTTCTCATATAAAAGGGGTTCAAAAGACGGCGACTGACTGAGCCATTTAACTCGAGTGGCAGACTGCTAACCAATATGTGTAGGTTAACTGTTATCTAGATACACTAACTAGTACATTATAGCGTACTATTTACCACATTGTTAACAGTGACTTCAGCATGACATTGAACAAGCGACACAATCTTAGATGTAGGCGTAGCTGCGTAGTTACACATACACTTTTGTCCACAAACCAAGCCGGATAGCCGGATGATCTCAACCCTACACTCCCTTCGGTTGCCATCCTTGATGTTAGGGACTCTATAAAGTGTGAAGGCCGCATCTTAGCTGCTCTTCTTTTTCTCTGGTCGTGAGGTGAAGCAGCCCAGGCCTGAATTGTAATGAATGAACTCCAGTGCTTGAAAGAAACACACGAGAAAATCAAATTCCTTCTCGTGTGGTTTTTGATTCTGATTGACTTCCTTTCTTGAAGATAAACAAACACGCATTGAGTAAATGGTGGCAAGGGCAAAGTGCCCTTGAGTGTTTTGAAAGGCGCTTATCAATGAAATGTATTATTATTATTATTAAGGGTATCATTTGTGGGCTTTTGCCTTGGTACCTGAATTGTACTTGAAAAAGAAACCAATGCCATGCACCTTTTTGCTGAAAATATCAACATTCAGCAAGCTGTAGCTCTCAAACCCCTGCTCCAATTGATCCAAACTTTGAGATTTAGTGAGTGCCATCACAATCAACATCATTAAAATCTAAATCTGCTCGGTTAAACCCACTGGGTGATTTGGCATGGAATGACCCAGTGCTAATGTCACCTCGTTTTTCTTTGCATTGCATCAAATCACGTCAGTGGTATTTAGTTGTATTTCATCTTTCTTGCACTGAATTGTATTTTATTGTAAACAGTGAAATGACATAATTTGACTTTGCTTTTTCATTTCCAGACCTTCCTCGCTGTCCTTTGCTGGAAGTGCAAAGCATGGAATTACAAAACAAACAAAGTGATGAAGAGTACTCGGTGTGCACCTCACTGAAGGACCACGACTATGAGAGTACAAAGGATGTGCATTCAAAGCCGACGGTAGTGAAATGTTTCAACCCCTTTCAATGGCACTCAGTCCCAGTTATGTTTAATAAACACACTGGCTCCACACTATCCACACGGGTATACTTCCACCACATTGCTGTTCTCCTGGGACATTTTACGGCTAAGGTGTATCGGACGACTGACATAATAACTGCAATGCATGGGGTGACTGATGTAAAAATCGTGACACAACAAATTTGTTGCCAACACTGATAATTATTGATGGTACCGCTTTGTTGTTGCAGCCTTACTTAAAAGTAAATCATTAATGATACTGCTGTAATTGATTGATTATGTTTCTCTCTGACACAAAACCTGCATAAAATGTTGTTTTTCCTTCTGTTGTAGGTATTAATAGATGAGTCTACGCATGTCCAGTATGTGTCTGAAGGGACCAGTACTGATGGCAGCAGAAAGTCACCGACAAAATCCATTGTCGCCCATCTCCGGTGTGACCTCAAAATGCGATCTCAAGCTGAAAAAACCAAAACAACTCCGGAAACATTAAACAAACAGAATATGAGCTCCAAGAAACCTACATTGGAGAAAGGCACTGCTACTGAACCAGAGACTGCTATTGAACGAATTCCAATAAGCTCCGAAAAGCCCTTTATAGCTGAAGATTGTGCAAGTAAAATGTTTGAATCGCCTCTACACCCAAGGTCAAAATCCACCACAGGTGCAACTGACATGACAGAGACAAAATTATCCCCGCTGAGCGATTGTACGGTCAACCCGTGTATCAATAATGCTGCCTCTGAAAAGTTAGGAGATTGTAACCAGACTCTTGGGTCAGGTTCAACTCAAGAAAAACAAACGCAAACGCTGCCGCCTGCTGTGATCACCAAAAAGCCGAATGCCATTAAACTGGAAGATAGCCCAAACAAATCAAAAGCCACTACTTTGTGTCTCAGGTCCAGTACAACAAAAGATACCACCGCCACTCTAAAGACTAAATTCCCACCTGAGAGTGCAACTACAAGTGATGCTAAAGGAAGCACCGCTAAGAAATCTAGACTAAATCAAACTGCGACTGTTCCAGAACATGATGTAAAGTTACAAAATGCAAAGAAATTAGCCAAAGTGGCAAAGGCTAAGACTGTAGACAAAAGTAAGCAAACAAAATTGAAGAAACTTAATCCAGCAGTGAACGATTATACCACCGATGAAACGGCAACCAAATGTCCTTCTCAACTCATGTGGACTCGAGCTAGAGAAGCAGCCTTATTAAGAGAAACGAGGTCGTCACTTTTCCAGAGACGGACAAGCATCCCAAGATCTCCGGACCATTCTGCAGTCTCTCCCCAAAGTCTTTCTCACCACCTGACACATGTGAAAGCCTCACCTATTGTATCCCCACCGCAGCTTCTAACGGTCCCGGGTGAGCAGCTGCTCAAAAACCAGTGCGGGGTATGCGGTCGCGTTCTTAGTAGCAGTGCTGCTCTCGAGAGCCACGTCAGTCTCCACACCGGTCACAGACCGTTCTCTTGTACACTCTGCGGAAAGAGCTTCCCTGACTCCAAGGGTCTAAAACGACATGGCAGAGTGCATGGCAATGGGAGGATCCACATCTGCCAGGAATGTGGGAAGGGTTTTGTCTACGGTTTTGGCCTCACGAAACATGTCCAGATGGTGCATGGCAAAATTAAGCCGTTCGTCTGTCAGCTCTGCAACAAGGCATTCTTCACAAAGCGAGATGTGGAGACCCACATACGGATCCATACGGGGGAGAAGCCATTCCACTGCCATCTATGTGAAAAAAAGTTTGTCAGGAGAGTTGAACTCAATGTGCATCTGCGGTGGCACAACGGGGAGAAAAGACACTGGTGCCCATATTGTGGGAAAGGATTTTTAGACTACAACAACCTGAAAAGACACAAGTATATCCATACAGGAGAGAAACCACATTCTTGCCCACATTGCCCCAAACATTTTACGCAGTCTGGACACCTAAAAAAGCATGTTAAAAATGTACATAAAGTCAAATGAAAGAGAGCCGGCAAGTTGCTTTTTTGAAATCTCAAGTTTTTATTGTAACATTTGACGTGTAAAATATTTTTTTTTAAGTCTTGTGTTTTAATATACTTTTAAGTAACTTGATCTTGTTTGTACTTGCACATTCTGATGTTAATATACTTGTTTTTGGGCCCATTTGTATAGTATCTACCCGTATATGCAACTAGATGAATTACGCATTGCATCTAGTTCCTTGTTGACATTTTAGTGTCTGAAGCCTTCTGCTTGTAAAAGGTTGCATTAAAAACTTTTCCCCTGACATTCTCCTTGTATAACTAATTGAACCAGTAGTAGTTTTGCAAAAACGTTTTTACATTCATTTAAAAAAAACAAAACAAACAAAAGCACTCAGTACTGGAGTTCAGTGCAATTTATTTCACATAACACTTGTCACACTTTAAAGTGTTTTCCTGCATCGAAATCAATGAGGAACTTGCACTGAACATGCAATAATGTAACTTATTCAAGTCAATTATATCAATACAGTACAACATTTTAAAAAAACGTACGCCGATAGGAAGTTTATGATGAATGGTGGTTTATATGTTGACAAGTTGAAGTTTTAGATGTAGATACAGTATAGACTGCAATTTATTTCACATAACACTTGTCACACTTTAAAGTGTTTTCCTGCATCGAAATCAATGAGGAACTTGCACTGAACATGCAATAATGTAACTTATTCAAGTCAATTATATCAATACAGTACAACATTTTAAAAAAACGTACGCCGATAGGAAGTTTATGATGAATGGTGGTTTATATGTTGACAAGTTGAAGTTTTAGATGTAGATACAGTATAGAGTATTCTGCTCTGGCAGCAGTGTTGTGTCCAAGGACCGGCAACCCGAGGCCAAGGCCAAGGACTTGGAAAATTTTCCGAGGCAAGGCCAAGGCCAAGGACTTGAGAAATTTTCCAAGGCCAAGGCCAAGGACCAAGGACTTGCTTCCGAGGCCAAGGCCAAGGACCAAGGACTGATTTTGAA